TTCTAGCTGTCGGGGATTATCTCTAAAGCGTATTACACTGCGGCTGTGTATGCTGCCGAGTGGTACAGAGCTCAGCACCGGCAGCCCATGAGCTCCAGGGGAAAGTTACTCAGCTCTTAGCAGCTGAGGGGACCTGAAGAGGAGCCCTAAGTTATTGCTCTAGTCACCGAGGGCAGGGCCTTACCCCCCGCACCGCCCCCGTCGTGGGCTGTGCAGGGCTGTCCACACTTACCAAAGATCGTAGCGAGGGAAGACGTGCAGGCAGGCTCCTCGTCTTGAGCTGTGGTGACCTCTGGGTCTGGCAGAACCAGCTGGAAAGGTGTGGGTATCACAGTGCCCCCTTCACTGCCCCAGGGACAGGCTGGCAGGCTAGGAGGGTGCTCCTTGCTCACAGTCTGGATCAGCCCACTCCTCTTGGGCATTAGCCCTCCATCCACAGCAGCTCTGACCTACCCCTCCACACCCAGATCAGGAAATACATGCTCAGCTCCCTTTCCCCTGGGACCTACCTTGTCTGGCCTGCTATAGCATGGGAGTCTAGGGCAGGCAGAGGCACAGGCTTCTGCTCCTTTCCCTTTCCCAGGGAGTGGAGATTGCCAGCCAGGGATAGCTGCCATTGGGGGTGGGGGGTGGGGGGTGCTTTGGCCATGAATTGGATAGGCAGAGCTTCCCCTTCCTGTCTCCATCCCTCCCCACTCCCAGAACTGCCTTCCAGCCCCACAAGGGTTAAATCCTTCCCACCTATTCTTTTGTATTTCGGTTCTCCTACTGTGCCTACAAGAGAGACAGCAGAACTTTTTCTGTATCTAAGCCAGCTCCTCTGGCTGCTTGTCTACATCAGTCACCTTCTCAGCAGGACTCTTTATGATGGGTCTCAGCTAGGGTGGCCATCATAGAGGACAGTCCAGTTGTCCTCTATTGATACAAAACCGGATGCCTTTACATGAAGGCATCTCTTTTCTTGAAGAGAAAAATAGAGGACCTAATGGCGTCAGGTTTCGTATCAATAGAGGACAGAGTAGCAGAAAACCAGAATGTCCTCTATGATGGCCACCCTAGTCTCTACCCTAGTTGCTATGCTTAAGTTTCAGCCTTGGCCTTCCCCCGTCAGCGTAAGAAAAGCCCAGACATGATGTAGTTATACCAGGAACCAGAACAGGAAAGGTTGAACTAGGCAGCAGTTAAAGCATGTTTAGCAGGTAGTTATACCTGTCCTTATCTCCTGTGCATTTCCATTTTGCATTTAGTTCTTCATTTAAGCCCATCATCCTTTCATTTTGCCTTCAGTAACCTAGGAAATTCTTATTAGCGACACGCTCAGGTTGAAACCAATTCAACACGTCCCCACCTGCTTTGCTTAGCATGGTTCATGCTGGGTTGTTAAAACTGAGTTAAAAATAAAGCCCACTCCCCTCCAAACCCTCCTCTTGCTGTGTGTGTTTGCTCTGGAAGTTGTGCAGGACTCGAACAATGGAAACAGAGGGTCAGCAGCTTGGTCGTTTGCAATTGGTTTCTCTCTGCAAATCTAGGGGCCCTAACACAAAGCTGGTAAGAATGGGAGATGGAAGACTTGCAGCAGGTCTTGGTCTGACTTTTGGGTCTGGCAGAGCCGATTCAAAACCTGTGGCACACTGATAACCACAGCAGGTGCCCGATTCACCTCTCCAGCGGACAGCCTGGGAGATGTTCTTTGCACTGGCTCCAGGGCTGCGTTGGCCTCCTGACTCCCTTCTAGGATCAAGCTATCTCTCTATTTTGCCCCTTCTGTCTGGCCACAAAGCCTCCTAGCCCCCTCCTTTTTCACCCCAAGCCTCCACCCACGAGCTGTGAACACAACAGGAAAATGTTAATACACAAATAAGTGGCTGGGCCCACGGGGAACTTCCCTACTGACGTCAGGGATTGGGTTTGTAGAATCGACGTTGCTGATGCACGCTGCTTTGTGGTATTCACATTGCAGCAACAGTCTCATAAACAGTCATAAAGCCCTGGAACAGGCTCCCCAGAAAGGTGGTGGACTCTCCATCCTTGGAGGTCGTGAAGAGCCAGCTAGACAAAGCCGTGGCTGAGATGATGTAGCTGGGACTGGTCCTGCTTTGACCAGGAGGTTGGACTAGATGTGACCTCCTGAGGTCCCTTCCACCCTCATTGCCTGTGATTCTATATCCAGGCTGTTTATGAACACAGCCCCCTCCATCCCACCCTCATGGAGGGCAGGAAATGTTATCATCCCCATTTCACAAATGGGAAACTGAGGCAACACCATTAAGTTGCCAGGATCACGCAAGGAGTTAAGAAGTCCCTGGCACCCAGCCTTGTGCTCAGGCTGCTGCTTTTAATGAGCCGTTACTGGGTGCTGCCCAGTCTTTGGTGGACAGATGCTTGGGGCAATTCCCTGCCCACGAAGCCCCTTCCCCCAACCAAAAAACAAGTGCAAAGCCAAAGTTCTGGTTTTAAAAGGGGCCTTTCTCCATTTTATTTTTTCCTGAATAAAAATCCTTCACAGTCAGCTCTAGATATAGATAGAGAGAGATACGTATACATATAGAGCTTCTTTATATATATATATACATACCTCTATACAGATATATACACACATGGTAGAAAATCCCAAGGCAGTAGCTCTTAACATCTTTATAACCCGATGGAGACAGACAACAGATTAGGAGTAGCTTGTGAAATGTGCTATCGGTTTAACAACGGTTTCTATATGGATATATCTTTGCTGTACAAAACTTCCAGGATGGGGGGTTTTTTTTGTTTTTTTTTAATTTTTAAAAATTTCTTTAAATACACAGACCAGAGGCAAAGTCGATACAACAGTGTTTGAACAGGACCAGTGGACAGGAGATACACTCAACTTTAAATATGGATTCTTTCCAAAGTACTTTTTTTTTTTTTTGGTGGATTTTAATTTTTATTTATTTATTTATTTTTTTTTTGTATTTTTTTTTTTAGGGTTTTAGTTTTTTTGCAAAGTCTCCATAGACGTAGTTCAGAGAACTGTTAACAGTCAACGCGGGACAAGAAAGGTTGTGGGGAGGGGGAACAGTTTCAAGTTCAGAACACTTCTGGTTTGAATTCACAGTAAGAGCAGAGGGACGGTGAGGCTGGGAGGGAACGAAGGATGCACAGATGGCATTCAGGTTCGGCAGAGGCCCCGGTGCTGCTGGACGGCCCATGCAGAGTCCTACCACTAACCCAACGCCTGGGCCCATCCCACCACGGCTCAAGCTGCAGGGTTTTTATTGCTGGTGAACTCGGACAACAGGGTTAGCATGTCCTTAGCTGGCCTGGAGTGCTGCTTTCCATGGGAGCCCATGGAGTTAAGGGGGTTCCTACCAGCCGGGGACGGGGTCAGACTCGCTGCTGCTCTTTGGGGACAGCCCCAGACGGAAAGGAGCAGCTAAGCTGAGTGCATTTATTTGCAAGTTCCCCTACCCCTCACCCCCAGTGTGCATCAAAAGGCAGGCAGGGCCTGTTATCATAGGCTGCCCCCCAGTATCATAGGCAGTTCGCAGCATGTAGAAGATCCACGTGAGTGCAAATCAACACCCCTGGCAAGGGGCTCAGCTCAAGACTTGGCTGCGCAGAGCTTGGGTGGGCTTGGTAGCGGCCAGCACGGTGGGGTTGGTCAGTGGTGCTCAGTCCCACCCCCCCACACCCCAGCTCTGACCCCATTTGGACCCCAGGCCAGAATTTGGACCTGCCCTTGCCTCCGTTTGGGTCTGACAGGAGCGCGTTCAGACCCTGCGATGGTCTGTTGGGGCGGGCCTGGCCTGTCATACGCACAGCCTCTGCCGCTGGAAGTCCCAGGAGAACGGCTTCTCCAGGGGCCACGCAGCAAGATGTCGGAGCCGGGGGCAAGAGCCAGGACAGGGTGAGAGATCACGCCTGTGCATCGGGGCTCCTGCTTTGATGGACGCTGGATCAGCAGGTTGGGTCTTCACCCACTCTCACTGCCGCTAGCGGGGTCTTGCCCAGAACCACTCCACTTGCACCATCCTAGAGCATCGCACGTCTGCGCAAAGGAGAGCATCACATCTCTGATGTAGCTCTTCTGAGAAGACGAGAACTTTAAAGCTCACAAGAACACTGCTGTCTCTCTCCAAGCTGCCCCGGCCAGTGCTCAGCCAGGCTACAGGCTTTATTTTCATTTCTCTTGATATGATGCAGGGGAAGGGGGTGATGCATAACCTAAATGAAGACTCCCAGACCAGCCTTTCCAGCAGCAGAGCTGGCCATTCCCCATGTCTAGACTGTGCTGTCCTTGTGATCTGATTACAACGATCCCCATGAAGAAACCAGCATTTGCAAACGGTTGCCTTCTCTGAGCCAGGAGAGTTAGACGGGGTCCTCTGCTTGGGTCCTACACCAGCGCTCCCGTACTCAGAGAGGCTCCAAGTGCCCTTGAAGATTTCAAGATCCCCCGTGTCACAGCTGGGGTGTGCACACGACACATTTACAAGGGTGTGATCTGCCTTCCCAGGGGGAAATGCAGAGGGGATGTGAGATGTAAAGTCGGAGTAGCTATGGGCCAGGAAGATACGGCAGCCTATGGGCTGCGTGGCTGCAACTCGAGCCAAGTCCAGCCTCGGACAGTCAATGCAAACAGGCTCCCTCGACACCCAGCAGGAAGCTGCTCGGTGTGGGCAGCAATCCAGCGTAAATGCGTTGTGTGTTTGCACTTGTAGCCATGGAGAGGTGAAGTTCACACGATGCATCAATGCTAGCACTGAGGAAAGGACCAGACCTTCCTGCCACCCTCTCCCTAGCTCTCACCACTGGTCTATACTGTCTCATTCCCCCCCCAGCCCAGTCCCACTGGCCAAACCCTGCAGATCCTTACTCAGCAAGACATTTTGCTTCAGACAGAGCTGAAGAATTTGGCCTTTGAACCCTTCCCAAGTAAAAGAGAGAGCACTGCCGGTTTTTGGTCCATGCTTGTCTCTCCAATAGACTCTTACCACTGGAGCACCCGCCCTCCCAGCCCCGTTCGCCTTCAGAATAAAGGACGTGGTTCAGAAGAGGGAGGTCTCGCACGCTTGCTATGTCTTTGGTCACGGTGGTCAAGAGGCCGCCGCCTCGGACAAACTCTAAAGTGCCACTTCAATGCGAGACCACGGGTCGTTGCGGTGCCTCGGGGAGAGACCCGCAGCCGGATGCCTAAGAGGCAGCCCCTCTTCTGGGCATCTCTTCCGAGTGCCACGGCCCCGGGAGAAGGAAAGTCCCGGCCTTGTCTGAGCGGCCTTTGGGGAAGGCGCGGATCAATGCTGCAGTGTTTCCACACTGGCTGCACCCTCAGGTCCCCCGGGGGACTATCCATGGGCAGAACGAAGACACGTCACAACACGACAGAGAGGACCCGATCCTGGAAGATGCTGAGCAGCCCCTATCCCTACCAGGACTGAATGGGCACTGGGCATCTTCGAGGACCAGGCTCTCGGAGCTCTTTGAGACGCCCTCTGCTCTTACTGTAAATCCCAATCCGTCACCAACATAGACATCGACAGAATTTTCTTGGTGTGTTTAATCACCGTATATACAGGACCAGGCTGTTATTTACATCCAAGTACACTTGTCTCTGTAGAACTTAGCAGCATAGAGTCGCCATTCGGTTCCTCCTTCGGGTAATAAGCAGGTCACGCACAGAAAACCATCAGGGATTTCCCCACCGTTTTGTGCTAGCAACTAGATTCATGTTGGCAGCGATCGGTGTGACTGCCGGTCAGGGGATTGGGGGAAGCAAAGCTGTGCTGGGCGGCATGTGGCACACGGTACCAGCCGTGTTATTTGCGGGTAGTTTGCAAAGCCTTTGGGCCCCTGCTGCTGTGGAGTCCAGCAGATAAGAGCACGTCATCTTTCAGCAACAGGGGCAAAAATCACAAGGGACCCTTCACCCCCACGATGGTAAGGGACTGATTCTCCCTACCTTGGTACAAGCCTAACTCACTTGGGCCAACATCTCAGCTGATGTAAAAGAGTGGAGCTAATGACTGAGGTTTGCTCACGCCAGTAAAGGTCTGACCTAGTGACTTCAAAAAGGTTACTCCCAGGAGAACCTCATGTACTTTGCTGTGGTCCAAGGATCCCCAACCGGGATCCAGAGGACGTTAAGGACGAGTATCCCTGCTTCACCCATGAGGCATGGAGAGGTGAAAGCACCTGCCAAGGTCACCTAGCAAATCCAGATGAGAGACGGGCAAAGAATCCCCTTCTCCCGGCACGGGATCCCCTTATTGCTTCATGCACACAGACTGCGAGGCCTTGTTACAGATGCTGTTTCCGACATGAGCGCAGGCGTCTGCTGTCAACCTCGACCCTACGTATTGGATGAAGCAAGAAAGTTGCAAGAACACCAAGGTGAGGATAAGAAAAAGCCAGAAAGACTCCTGTAGGAGATGGGGTCTGATCTCCCCTGAAAGGATAAGAAATCAGCACTTCATGCACAATTGTCTTACGATTCCTTCTGCAGCCACCTCTGGGGACAAGCAGGTACCTATTTAGCACTATGCTTTTCCACAGTCTGGGACAGGCAGTGACAGAGAAGAGGGCAGCCCATGGAAATGGCAGGGGGCTTTAAGAAGGTGGACTGTAATAAGGGGCCTATGGCCCAGGGGACTCCTTCCAGCCTCAAGTTCTCATGCCATTGTCACAAGGGAGTTTTGCTGGGTTCCTGCCTCCCTTGCAAAAAAATACCCCGGACCCCTTGCAGATTGGGCTCTCTGCTTACGCCCTTCCAAACGGGACCGCTCTAGCCTGCTTCCACAGCGACCCACAAAGATAAGCACCATCTCCTGAACCATCAGCGCACCCTCCAAGTGCTCTACGGGTCTCCGCAACCCTGGCTGGAGCGGAGTGCAGCTCAAGGAGGGGACGCAGCTGCAGGACACATGGCAGCGATGCTTCAGTAGAGCAGACTGCAGGCCCCACTCCTTTCAGATGAAAAGTCTTCCCAAGCTCCCCTTATCCTCAAGAAGGTCCGTGGCCCCTAAAGCTATAGATTGAGCCCAAGGCTCTTTGGTGGAAGCTCTGGATGGGATGAACGGACTGGAGTCATGGATCTGCTGGTGTTTAAAGGAAAGGCCTGCCAGAGTTCAGACACATTTGGGTCATGGCGTCATTTGAAGCACACCTGGGAGAAGCGTGGAGTCACTGGGACCCAGGTGACTACCCTACCTGAAACACACAGTTGGTTGAGGTTTGACATCCTCAGGGCTACCTGGCTCCTGCCACAGCCCTCATGAGAACCTGAACACTGCTGGATTTTGGGCTGGTCTCGCTTCAGGTACTTCGGTGGTATCTTCATGCACGTGCCCCCCATCAGGTGCGTAAACCTGTCTGCACGTTGAAAGGATCCGAGATGCAACGATCCATGGGACAGATGTGCACTGAGAGGCCTTTCTACAGGTGGACTGGTGGCTGCCCTGCTCTGAGACCTGGTCGGGGTGCCCTAGACTCGGGAGACGTTTACCGTAGAGGTCAACACAGATCCAAGTGAGCTCTGCGGTGCATACCACATGTGACAACCCCTTAAAATAAGGGGGTGGCATCCATGTCAGTGGGAACATACCTTTGATTTCACTCAGGCTGGAGCATCACTCAGAGTAGTGGGAGATGGAAAAAGCTCCCAGGCCCCTGGGCCCAGCCTGCTCGGAGGGCGGGTGCCACTCCCTGGGACTTCTCTCTGCAGCATGGCCTGAAGAATCCCAGGGGAAGCTGATCTGAACTCCTTTGAAGAGACAGCTGCAAGTGCTCGGTGCTTGGCCCTGGTGCCCAAGGATCTCAAAGCCCTTTGTGCACCAGAATGAGTGAGTCCTCACAACGGCCCTGTGAGGTTGGGGGAGGGAGGTCTAACAAGGTGGGGGAAACCGAGGCACACAAAGGCGGAGTGACTCAAGGTCACCCAGATCTCCTGCTTCGCAGATGTGGGCTTCACCCTACCTATTGGGTGGACGTCCTTCAAGACCTGAACTCAGTCAAGGCCTCTGCGTTAGATGCTGAATGCCTCGACCCCCAGATGACTATGATGGGCACTGAGGGGCTCAGCTTTGTGCAGTATTGGGCCTTGGTGGATATGCAGGTGTCTGGTTCTTTGGCTGGCACACACTGGCCCAGCTCCCTTCAAGGCAAGGCAGCTACTTTGATTTACCTCAGCTGAGATACTGGCCTGGTGTGAGTAAAGGGACTGAAGACAGAGCCCAGCCTCACACAGACCCAGAAATGCCCCCCAACTGGCCCTTCCATGGGGCTGCCACCCCCAGACTGGCCAAGCCAATACAGTGCCCTGCAGCGCGCAGACTGTTGCATCTACAACCCCACAACCTGGCACTAAAAGTGAGACCCAGCATGTCAGGCTGCCACGGCGTGACTCTAGCCACCGCCACGGCCACCCTGGTCTGCTCCGTGCTCCGGGCGCAGCTCTTCACACCTCTACACAGCCCTGGGGACTGCACAGCCGGGGATGGGTGGTGGGAGTCCCACTGGGATCACAGTCAGAAGAGGCTGACTGCAAAACAAGTGTGGAGGGGGGAGGAAATCAGACTTGCAATGCTAGGGAGAGCTCTTGGCTGTCACCATGTTCCCTGATGGAGCCCTTCATGGGAAGCAAAGCCCCCGCTGACATTATCCTGGCTCCACAGATGGAAGTCACTACAGTGCTCACTCTTACCCTAATCATGCCCCTGGGAGGTGACCATATCCACTTCCTCCTAGTCACCAGAAACTGGTCTCCGGTGACACCAGTCGGCACTGGCTCTCTTCTCCCTGACTGCCATCGACTCACGGGGAGCAGGCGCTGATTTAAACTGGCTCCCAAGCCCACAAAATCACAGGCCCCCATTTTCTACTACGACAGGACCACTGCTGCCCATCAGTGCTGCTGTTATGATGCTCTGATCGCTGCTGTCCCATGCCCAGCGGACAAAGTCAGCTGGAAAACAACAGGATGAGACTCACTGGACTAGCTGTGCCTTTCCCAGTGACCTGCCTCTGAATCTGGAGCTCACCATAAAGGTGTTCTAGGTCCCAGCTGGAGTTCAGTGCTTGACGGGGAACTGTGAGCTGTCACAGGGTGGTGGGAGCTTGGACATGGGGAAATATGGAAAGTGAGCAGCCTCAAGCCCTCTCTCAGATGCCATTTGGATTCATCTTCTCAAGTCCTGCGGTTTGGCTTTAGAGCATAGGCAGGCCTCCACCTGGGAAAGCTCTCACTTGCGTAGCAGCTTCTGGGCTGCCAGCACCACATCCTGGAGGCAATGATCCTTGGTTTGCCTAGCTGCAATCAACAGGCCTTGCTGCCAGTTGCCCTGAGCCCCCTGAACCCCACGTGGACAGCTTGAGTCCTTCTTGAGGGCCCCTCTCTGTTGCCAAAGTGGCATAAAGAGGTCTTCGGGTAGGTGGGAATCCAGCCTGTTATGTTCCCCATCTATCTGCACTGCAAAGCTGACTGCTGCTCTTGCATATAGACAGAAGAGTTGGTGCCTGTGGGCACCAATCAGCAGGGGGGACTCGGGTCTAATTTAGGAAGATGTTTTGCACGTGTGCTTAACTTTAAGCAGGGTCCGCACAGGAATCACCACCTTGCTCACTGCTAGGCACAGAATCAAACAATTTTTTGAAGAGGGTCTAGGCCATCTATGTGTCACACTTGAGTGCATGAAATAGCACAGCATTAGCAATATTTACACTATATCTGGGCCATATCTGAGAGGCTGACGTGCTCCTCAACACAGCCGAGTCTACAGACCTGTAAGTCCTGACCTGACACCCCTCTGCAACCAGCCATCCCTGCCCTGGGAACAACAGCCAGAGGAAGGGCACTTGGCATCATTCCTACATCACCTGCTACCTTGCAACGGGCAGACTCTTAAAGCTTCAGCCTGGATAAAGATCCAAGGAGTTGGGCTGTTTCGCTGAAGTCCTTGTTTCTCTGGGAATCAAGTGCAAGTTGCTTGAATTTCTGGTGCTCCCTCGAGTTTCTAGGTCAGGAGCACAGGAAGAATAGGATCAGAGTGCTTTTTTTGCTACAACCTGGCCATCACCAAAGCCCTGGCTGTCACCAAGGAATGGGGAGGAGCCGGATACGAAAATGCAGCATATGTCAAACTGCTGAACTTCCAAAGAGCTTCTCAGCTCACTTGGGATGCCAGGGCACGCTGGCTCACTTGACCTCAGCTGGCTCATGCCAACCCCCAAGTGACATCATGGGCTCTGGCAATGCTAGAGATGCTTTTCTGATCTCAGTCAGCAGTCTGGTTTCACTGAAGTCAATGGGCATGACTCCTATTGACTTCATTGGGACCAGGATTTGGCTATCAGCAAGACAGGATATAAAATTTCTTGCGATCCCCAGAGCTTTGCTCCGTTAGCCAATGTGGCTAAAAAAAATGACCCAAAGAACAGAAAACCTGTCAGCTTGAAACTAATTTTACTGAAAAGACTTATCAAAAAAAGGAGGAAGAAATGTAACCAAGAAATGAAAACCCCCCCAAATTTTTCCCCCCTCCAAAAAACAAGGGGCGTGAGCGGCGGGGGAAAGAGGATGGCAGCAAGTGAATAAGTAACAGTCACGGCATATTCCAAAAGGGCTGAAAAAGCTGTACTAGAAAAAACAGATGCGTGTCAGAGTATAACAACATACACCCACAGGTCTGTTACCTAAGGAGCACTGAAGAACCGAGTCAGGGTGGAGGGGTTGGTCGCAAGCAAGCTCACACCTCTCAGAGCACGTCATCCTTCGGACGACTGCTGGCTGGAGTAGGTTGCACATGCATGGTCGTGATGGTCCGGGTGCCTCGTCAGATCTCAGTGGACTCTATTCGCTCCAGCCGGGAGGGAGTCCAGGGTTTTTTCTCCTCGCTGTGAGGCGAGCTGGTCGTCTTGCTGGTCATTTCATTCACCTTGTGCTCCAGGATCTGGTTTTTCTGGTACATCTCCACGTAGTTGAGCTGCAGCTGCTTCTGGTACTTGATCACCTTTTCCTTCTCCTCCTGCCAGGTGCGTCGCTCCTCCTCAAAGTCCATCACCTGCTGCCCTCGCTGCTGGCGCTCCAGCTTCAGCTCTGCCTGCAGCCGCTCGACCTCCTTCTTCAGGGTGTTGATGCTGTCCTCGTTCTGGCGTTTCATCTTGACCTCGTCGCTCTCGCACGCCAGCGGGTCCTGGAGCTTCTCACTGAGTTCGGGGGGGAAAGGCCCCGGGTGGCCCATGGTGGCCAGCGTCTGCTTGAGGCCGGAGACCTCGAGTTCACAGTGGTTCAGCTTTTCCCTTAGCATCTGCACCTCGTTCATCTTCCTCTGGAGCTCGTTCTCGCAGATCTCCAGGTTGACGCTCTTGGAGCTGTAGGAGTCCTTCAGGGTGAGGATCTGCTCTTCCTTCTCCCGCAGGAAGTTCTTCCCTTCCTTGAGCTGCGTCCGCAGTCCCACGATCTCGTTCAGCTTCTGGGACACGTCCGCTTGGGAGTCCTTCAGCTGCTGCTTCAGCAGGGATATCTCACCAGCCTTCTGGCACACCTGAAAGAGCAGGCAGAGGACACGGTGAGATCACAACACGGGGACTTAGCATGATGAATCGAGGGCAGAGCCTTTCCGCAGTTATGCTGGCCATATGCTCACAAAACCCTGTAGAAATCGGTGGACTCACACCTGCGTAAGACCCTTGTCACGGAGGGGAGACTAGTGATTCTCAACCAGGATGCTGCGGCACCCTGGGGTGCCTTGAGACCCTTTCAAAGGGGTGCCACACAATGCTAGCACTATTAGGTGGGCAAACATGACTCACAAGAGAAAGTCAGAGATTTCAAAGAAGAACCCAGGGTGTTAAAAATAATTCTGTCCTGACGTGGGCTTGCTAAGTTGTTTGCAACAGAACAATTTTTCTGTTATTTTTCTGTAGTCAATTAATTTTTTAATTTACAGTTAGGGCTGCTAGGCTCTGGAATGGGCTCCCAAGGGAGGTGGTGCTCACTCCTACCTTGGGGGTCTTCAAGAGGAGGCTGGACAGACATTTGGCTGGGGTGATATGATCCCGGCACCCATTCCTGCCCATGGCAGGGGGGTCGGACCTGATGATCTGTTTAGGTCCCTTCCGACCCTAAGTACCATGATACTAAATGAGTAGCATTTTTCTGAAGGGGGGCCTTGAGCCTATCAAGTGGTGTCTGAAAAGCTGGAGAACTCCTGCCTTCGATGCTTGCCTAGCTCTGTCCTGCTGACAAGGCCAGAAGAGCCTTTATTCTCTGGGAGCGTCTTGCATTAACCAGCCAAACTAAAATGCTATCCAAGGGCCTGATCCCAAACCCACTGAAATCAATGAGGGCTTTCTCCCCGGCTCTAAATATGCCAACAGCAGTGTCATCGAAGAACGAAAATGCATTTGGCCTTTTGCCCTGTGGCTATTCTCTCTGGCTGTAAGGGACAGGACTAGGAGCAACGGCCTCAAGCTGTCGCAGGGGAAAATTAGGCTGCAGATGAGGAGGAAATTTCTGACTATTCGGGTGCTCAGGCATTGGAACAGGTGCCTAGGGAAGCTGAGGAATCTCCATCCTTGGACATTTTCAAGAGCAGGTTAGACAGACACGTGGCTGGGATGGTCTAGTTAGGGATGATGTTGCCTGGAACAGGGAACTGAACTAGATGACCTCAAGAGGTCCCTTCCAGTCCTATGACCCTGCAAAGGGCCTGGACACCAAAATGCAAGTGTCAGGAGTGGATGGTTTGCTATACAATCAGCGGAGAACTTGCCGACGTGCAGTGCTGCCCTTCATCAACGGTCCCAAAGCACTCTAAACTAGGCTTTACACATCGCGTTTTGAAATGCAGCTACGTCCGGGGCTGGAGCTCAGCTGCAGGTCAGAACACAGAGCCCATAGCCCAGCGAGAGCTCAGCTCTGGAAGTGGAGGACAGCACCACATCCATTCGGCAATACAGGGCCGTAGATTCAAATGCCCCTTGCCGCAACCTGCAGTCCGGGTAAGAGCCAGGCTGCAACAGAAAGTGCAGTCAAGGGATCCGGCAGGGCAAACTGTCAGGCTTTTAGCTGTAGGTCTAAGCCCCACAGGACAACATCCTGCTTGCCTTCTCCTCTCATTCAGGGTTTTCTGGAATCAGAGATAAATGCCACCTCTGGAGTCCTCCAGTTCCTGCCTCGTGTGCATGCGTGCCCTCTGCAGCTGCCCCAGCTCAACCCTGACCTTGTCTAAGCTGGCTTTGTGCTGCAAGGTTAACAGGTTCATGTGCCCAGCAGCAGGTGCCACAGCAGAAAGCCACTGGGTCATCTCTTAGCAGCAATCAGGTGCTTTGTGATTTTACAGCCCTTGCCTTTCCAGACGTGACTTGGCTGAACGGACAAAGTGACAAAGTGGCTCGCAGCATGGAGGTGTGGAGATCAGCTGCATTCATAGCCAGCATCAGGGCAAGATGCAAGGACTGAAGAGTAGAGCCACCTGTGTGGGTCCTCTGTATCCCCAAGTCCCTGGGATATATGGGCTTTCAATGATCAGCCCTTCTCTCCTGGTTGCTGGCAGGGCTGGGCAGTATTCAGAGGAGCTCCTTGCTCCCCACACACAGCGGTGTGTGTAGTCCTAAGTGGCTTCCCCATTCCCTCCATCTCAGCTGGTCCCATCTTTAAAATGTGGGCTTCCATGGTGGCCTCACCCAATAACCAGGCATGTGAAGCCCATATAGCTATGAAGAACAATTTGTGGAAGAGCTAGGAGTCAAACTCACGACCTCTCCCGGTTGAACTAATAGTAGACTAGCACTAGAACTGGAAGTGGTAGGCAAACCTGACCCTCACCATCACTGCCAGCTTGTTATATTGTTGTAAACTGCTAGAAGACCAGTTTAAACCATGGCTGTTGCTCAGGTTTAGGGCACTCAGATGTGGACCAGGCCTGAGCAGCACGGAAGTGATCAGAACATGTGTCCATATCCCAATCTAGTGATGGGCAAGGAAATTGCTTGCACTCATTACTGATGGGGTTGTGCCACATCCACCTTCCTCTCTGCTACTGGTGGTAGGGTAAGGCAAGGTAAAAGGTGTTGACAGAGATAGAAGGTCAGATGGGTCTAGTGGGAAGTGCCATCCACATTATCCCTGATGACAATGCACTGCTTTGCATCTCAAATGCTTCATGAACACAGGCACACAAAGTCACAGTGACAAAAGTTGAGTAGTGTCAACCCAGTGGTGAAAAATGAGGCACAAAGGGAGGCTCTAGGACTTAATTCAGAGGACTGAGGCTGGAAAGAGAGCCTAGGAGGCAGACTTCCAGAAGGTGGAGACACTTCCAGCCATCCTTGGTGCAACTGCTTATTCATGTCTTGATTAACCTGACTGGCCAACACAGTTTTCAGCCTTTTCTATGCTGGAGATCAGATTTGTGAGTCTGGCCTTTTAGTTTGTCATCTGTATGACTACATGGTTTACTGCTTCAGCCTATATCTACAAAGCAAAGCACTTAAGCTCTAGGCATGCAAACTGGCCCAATGAAGTTAGTGTTCAAGTGCTGTGTTGGATGGACACCTACATTAGCAAAGGCTGAATCTTACCCTCCCTGGGCACTGGTGTCCCATGGTGCGATTGCAACCAAAAGTGTGCTGGGCTCTTACCTCCCACTTGGTTTCTTCAATCTTGGGAAGAAACTCGGCCTGCTCTTTCTTGAACGCCACAAATTTTTTCTCCAGCTCTTCTCGCTGCTGGAGAAGCTGCGCCACATCATCTTGGAGCTTCTTCTTCTCCTGCTGGAGCTTGAAAATTTGGAGTTGCAAGGCTTGCTGAGCCCTTTGGGCCTTCTTGGAGACCTGCTGCAGTTTGTTTGCATAATTTTGCCTGAGGTCCTCCATCTCACGCTCCCAAATCTTTTGCTTCTCCTCGAAAACCTGGAGGATAGCAGCCTCACTTTTGTCTAGGTTTCTTCTCATCTGGAGGACCTCCTGTTCCTTCTCCCAGAGCCTGTCTTCCAGGTCTTGGATAATGTCGTCTGTCGAGGGCGAATGGAAAGGCATCGTTTCATTAAGATGGTTGAGTCTATTGAAGGAAGAAGTGCTCTTGCTTGAAGACCGGCCGCTGTCTGAGGTAGATATCCCATTATATCCCACAATGTTCTTATCCACATAGGTTGTGCCAATGCGGTTGATGTGACTTGTTGAAGCGCTCATGGGACCAACATGTTGGCTGTAGCCTGTCCCGTAAGTGGGCAAGCTGGTCAGAGAGTTACGGCCAGAATCAGAAAGCCCTCCCACTTGGTTTGTAGTCCTATTCAGGCTGGTCTTGTCAAGCCCGCTTTTGACTGCGGATGGGCTATTGCTGTTGGTGTGATTCAGGCTCTTCCTGTTCTCTGCCACGCCGTTGTTCTGCGGCGGGCAGAGGTTCTGCATGGAATGGAAGTTTTTAGGAACTACTGGTTTAAAGGCTGAAGGTCTAACTAAGGGCTCATTGCTCTGCAAAGGAAAAAAGAATTGCACGTCAAACACAGGAAGTGATGCTCCAACAATACACAAAACAGCATGCAACAGTTAGGGTCAAGCCTGTATCAGGATAGCTCTAGAGCAGGGGTGGGCAAAATACAGCCTGGGGGCAGGATCTGGCTTGCCAGGCCATTCTATCCGGCCCGCAGGGCCCTTAAAACATTTAGAAAATTTAATATTTATTTGCTCCTGACTGCCTGTCAAAGATGACAGGAGGCAGGGGCAGTAGGACCCAGGCGAAGCTGGCAGCAGGACCCAGCATCAAGGCCCCCCAGCTCCGCTCCCCCAACTAGAAGAGGCTTTTGGCCTGGGACCATGGGGCTGTTCCCTGCACTGGAGAGGGAAATGCGGCCCTCGACAGCTTGCCAAAACTTGGTAAGTGGCCCTCTGCCTGAAATAATTGCTCGCCCCTGCTCTAGAGGCTTTGCTATGGTTGATGGAATAACAGTGACTTTACCTCTCTCAGAGGTCAGTTAGCCCCTGTACCTTCCACTCGTCACTTTTAAATAAAAAGTCATCGATTTTTAGGCTTAATATTGGCCTCAGGACGTCCTGGCTCCCAGGCTTGTTCTTAAAGCACTCTGCTCCCCCGTCTCTAACACTGAAGTGAATAATGATTCCCCTGTGAAATCCTATGAAATACAAACTTTCATTTCTACCCAGGAGAACTTTTACAATCTTTTCTCCAATGCCCGATGAAGGGTGTTGGTGCCCGAAAGCTTGCAATTAAAGACTTTTTTTTTGCAAAAATCTTGTTGGTCTAATAAAAGATATCATCTCTACTACGAGTCCTGATTGCCTTAATGATTCCTCCTACATTTCTACGGTTATCCTTTGACAGTCTATTACAATTCCCTCTGTGAGAGAAGAGGCACCATCTTCCTCTGAGTATGGGCCTGGACATTAGTCTGGACACTGATTATTCAGAATTATCTGTAAGCTTATTTGTTGCAATGCATTTGGCTTTGAAGGACTTTACTCAATAAGGGCATGTTTTTAAAAGGAATCTAATCCATTTTATTGAAAACTAAGCAAGCCCTTGGATTAGTGCAGAATAACAGTTAATAATACCAATTATCTACTCTGAGCAGAGCCAATGAAAAGCCCAGAGGAGTCAACAGGATTGATTTTAATGGACTGGAGATCATACTCACATGGAGACTTTCATGGGATGATTTCAAAGCACTTCAAACCCCAGCACAGCACAGAAGGGAGGAATGACTTTTCCATGGACTCAGCAATGCCTGACTCAGAAGCATTCAGTTCCCCAGTTGTCAATAGTCAACTCTCCTCTACATGGAAACTAACTTATATTTATGCAACAGTTGGGTGACCCTAAAGAAAGCGTTTCTCATTTTCTTCCACCCATGAATGTGCCTAGGAAACTCAGGATTCTTTCTAACGAGGGATACAAAAATGGGGTAAATTTTCCTCATTTTTTTCCAATCCTTAAGGAGATAAATCTTTGAGGGGAGTAGGAGAGAGCTCTGAATGGGGCTGTAGGTGAAAAGTAACTCAGAAAAATCATCATCGAAGACCGACTCATCATCAAGATAGACTTAGAATCAACCCCAGCATTGAAAAGGTCAGGGTCAGACAGCAATGATCTGGGGCCTGCCCATATGACCTGCTGAAAGGCATCACATCAGCGCCCCTGGAGACTGTGCTCCTTTCTAAGCTGAAGGGGATGGCATGGCTGCTCCCCTAATGCTGCCCTTACCCTCTGGAGCCCCCCAGACCAGCTCTATAGCCGTGTGAATGGCTACTCATTTCAGTGGGGTTTTGCCGGTTTACACCTGCTAACGATCTGGTCTTTTGTTTCCAGCGGGCCTTCAGGGTACATGGCTCCTTCCATCCTTGGCAAGTCTGCCCCAACTACCAACAAATGGGACCGCTTACCGTGGCAGTTTACATCTTGTGGGCATTTATGCACTAGGAACTCAACGGGGACTGCACAAAGGCCTCCCGACAGCAACATCCGCTTGTTTGCTGGTCTGGGAGACTTGGCAGGGAAAGGTTGCCAATCCCTTGAGTTCCTCCAACTTCCTCCAGTCTCCTGAACTGGCCAGACAATCCCAGATCTGGATCTGGGTGCTCTTTATTCCCCTGAACAAAGTCTTCCCAAATTGTGTCATTAGAGTCACTTCAAGCAGGTGCCACCAGGCACCAAGGTAGAAAAGCCTCTTACCTGGTCCAATTTCCCAGAGATCGGCAATATCTTTGGTGGATTACTGGGTTCTCTGTACTGGGGAGGAGGCGGCATGTTCTTCTCGTTATTGGTGGTCACATTCCCACAAATGTCCGTCTTCAGCTTCTCACTCTTGCGTAAGTCCCCGTTGATGTAGAGGGAGTTGGAGATCTTCTCGGTCTTGTACGTCTTCTCCTCCCCGGAGTAACGGTTGGAGATCTCCCGCGTGGAATAGCCATTTCGAGAGCCGTCTGCCTGCCTGCTGCTGCTCTGAGTCCTGGTCCCCACGCTTTTCATGGCAAACTCCTGCTCGTTGGCGACGCCGCTGCCAACGCTTCCCATAGTGCTCTGGGAGGAGGTTTCAGAGGACCTAGAGGCAAAAGAGTGGAAAGTCTCCTGGCTCTGGTAGCTTGGGTCACTAAGAACTGACAGGGTCTCTAATTTGGCCATGGCAACCAAGAGGCGAAGTCAGGGCGTGAATCAGTGGCACTGGAAGAGAGGAAAGTGAGAGAGGGTGAGTGAGCGGTCCTTGTTGACCATCTTCTCTTGATCAGTGCAAGGCAAAGCGGAGTAAATATGTGCCTCAGTCCCAGGGGGTCTCGGGAAGTCATGGCAGGAATTGTCCCCTCCCTGCCTGTGGAGCAGGACCTGTGCTGTTTCGTATCTGCACCCTTGGCTGTGTCTTGGGCAAGGTCTTGGTAGCCAGGACCTCACTGTTCATGTGAGAAGCAACAGGGGGGTGAGTCTCTGAAGCAGCATGTCTGTCGGGGCCCCAGATCTGCCCCAACCTAGCTCTCAACTCCCTTGCTGTTACATGCCCCAAACCCTGCCCGTCCCAAGGCAGCAGAATGACCCTTCCTCTTCCCCATCCGGGGCTCTTGCAGGTGGAGGGGTCTCTGTGTGCTGGAGCAAGCAGAGCTCCCCAACACCGTTCTTCTGGGGAGGTTTACAATAACTATTTGCAGCTCCCAGTATTGAATCATTTTTGCAATGGCTTTAGGGGCAAAACAGGCTTACACAGTTGTAAGCTCCTGCACTGGACCCTCCCTGCCTGGTCTATCCATGGTCCTGGCAAGAATGGTTCCCTACAGGCAATTTTCCAGTACAATCTTCCCTAAAAGATGGAGCTCCCAGTACCTCCCTGGGCAGGCTGTGCTCCAGGGTGAAGTTAAATGTTACATTTAGACCATACTAAGGCACTAAAACCATGAGCACCCCTAGTTTAAAGCTCGTTAACTCATGCTAAGTGCCCTCTGAGCATCTCAAAGGTACGCCACTTCAGGCAAGGGTTACCTCTGGGCTGAGCGACCCAGGTCGTTTTAGGGTAACTGCAGTCTGCTCCACAGAGAGAAAACGAACAATTTGCAGTCCTCCATCATCCCAGGGTGCACTGCTCCTAGTCCCTCCCGCAGCAGGGACAGATCCCATGTGTCCCGACCCCTAACCACACCCCTGCTCGCCACCCTCTAGTGGCAAGTCAGAGCTGTACAGGCAAGAAATGGTATTAACCCTTGACGGCTTATAGCACGTTCTAACTTTAACACTGCTTAAAATGCCATGGATTTAGTATGGGCCAAGTGTAAGGTGTGGCTTCACCCTAACACAGAACATTTCCCAGTAAATGCCCCCACTCCCGCTGTTCATCCTACATGTCTGCCAGGCATCTCCTCTTCCTGTCCCCTTCCAAACGCACGCCCATTGGGATCATGCTTCTCCTCCTTGTGATTTAAGCCAAAACCTCTTGAACTGTTCCTGCTTAGCTCAGGCTCTCCAGCTACCTGCACATTTATGGTGTTTTTCTCCCAATTCCCCCACCTCTTTCCTCCCCTCTCTCTGGCATGGAAGAGCCTAGCACTAAATGCAGTGTTTTCGGTATGGGCTCAGCAGCCTCCAGAGATGCCCTCTCTCAAATAGAGACATCTCATTTAGCACCTCTCCTATGTTCAGTGGTTGGCCAAAGAGGCTCTCTCTTCCCAGATCACAGTGGATCGCTTTGGATCAAAGGTCATTAGTGATTTTGGATTCCTCAGGTGATAAACATGTCACAGGGCCTGAGTTTCTGAGGGTGGCAATTTGAGACTTTCTGGAAAAATCAGGCCATAGCTTCAGTTGGACACTAAAACCCACTATTCACTTGCAAACCTATCAGCCCCGCTGTTACTGGGCATGCTTGCATGGCACGGGTGCCAACCCTCAGCTGACTCAGCTCCCAAGGCCCTGTCCCAGCATGCACTGCAATCCATGTCAAGTCTAGGATGTGCTTCCTACACTCAGTCTTTTTGGTTAGGGCCTGGGTCAGAAATCCACAGGGACCGATGAGCCACCAGATACAAGATGTTGAAAGCAGGGCCAATGTACCTAATAAAAGCTCTGGGACCATCTCTATTTGGTTTTTGACTAAAGAGAGACTCTGAGAGACCTGCACAGTACCATAATGGTGGACTTCCCATTCTCTTGCAGATTAAACCGAACCTCTCTTTGATTGAAATCAGGACTGTCCAACTGGTGGCTTGCAGATCACATGTGGTCCCCAAGGGAGTAACATGCAGGTCCCTGGGCTTTTGGTCTGGATGCTGCTCCCCACTTTGCTGCCACTGGAGACCCCAGGCTCCCCCTCTCTCCTATGATTTCCACTGCCTGCTCCCTCCGCTGCGGAGGAGGAGGGGGTGGTGTAATATGGGCTGTGGGAGCCCTGCTTGGGGAGCTCAGGGGGACTTGGGGTGCAGCAGGAGCTGCCCACCACGTGCCAGGGGGGCCAGGAGGTGCAGAGGCTTGCATAGGGTGCAGGGGAGGGGGCTTTGTGTGTGCGTCTGTGGCTGGGGGAGCACACACAATACCACGGTGACATGAGTGGTGTGGCAGCAACGGGGGCTGTGCAGTGATGTATATAGCCCCCATGGCATGCACCTGGGGTGCAGGCGATCACAGTGGCCCGTGGCTAGGAGGCCTGCAGCCCCCAGCCACTCCAAAGCCGGGCAGCCCCGCTTGCTGGCTCCAGTTGGATAATCCTGATTGAAATCAACTCCTTTCCTGTACGAAATGATTTCCGTTAAAAGAAAAAATACAGCAAACCCCTTTGTTCGGACTGCCCTGCTGATTGCAGTTGGATCATTCGGGTTCAGAGGGATGGCTGTTAATGAAAAGGGGCCCATTTTCTAAACATGAGGGAAGAACTGCAGGGAAGATGCACATGATGAGAACAGCCCGGGGGTCACCGCAGTCACTGGAAAAACTCTCACTGTATTCAGTGACTTGCGCCAAGCCTGGACTAGCTCTTTGTTATTCATGTGCTGATGGATCCTGTCTCCACTGAAACCCACCCCCAGGCTCCACACACCTATATGGGGCTAATCGTTCACACTTAGCCATGAGGGGGGTGAGCACTCTCTCCACTCATTGCACGTGGAAGGTCGCACCCCACCACTGTCGGGGCTGCACGGAGCTGGGGAGAGTCGGGCCTACTGACCGTGGCAGGGGCTGTCAGAAGCACAGCCAACAGATGCACCAGCTGTGCCAAGCACCTCCCTGGTCCTACGGATAAGAGGAGCAGATGCTTATTCCAATCAAAGTGATGGGCGATGCTGCTAGTGGAATGAAGAAGGAGACACTGTAATAAAAATGGACTTTGGGCCAAACCTCCCTGGGGATAATTCATTTTTTTTACTCAGATTGACTTCCACTGATGCCAAGGAGAGTTTGGCCTCTCTGCTGAACAAGGACTTTGGGGACCTGCTCTTGCTAGAGTCATCAGTGTATCATGAGAGTGTAGCAAGGTCCCCGACCTGAGCAGCCTGCTGTATGGGGTTTTTGCATGCTGCCTTTCATCCAAGGCTCCCAAAGCATGGTGTGGATACAGGGACAAATCTTCAGCTAAGGCTGATTTAAGCCAGAGGACAAGCTGATCTATCACACGAAAACCTGTAGCATTCCCCAGAGTGGAGAGAAGGTTGCTTTTATCACAGTGGGGTCCACAACTTTGCGTTTCCTGAAGCAGACCTCCTGTTGGGGGTGTGCACATGTGAACAGGGTCGGGGACTGCTGCGGCAGAGGTTAATGAGACCTCAGGGTCCCACTCTAAAACAGGGGTCACAACGCTGGCCCGCAGTGGAGCCCCTCAGGCTGGAGGTGTTGGATCCGTCATATTTTTGCTATTCATAGGACCAGGGGAAAGGAGACTGCCTTCTCCTCGGGCTGTGGGAACATCATTGCAAAGCGAGCCCACCCCACACAAAACAGGACGGTTGGCATTATTTACTTTGCAGAGCCAGCTTAGGTCTAAAGGTCGGCTCCGACACGGCAGCTGCTCTGCTCCCAAGTGTCCCCTGTAATCACAGCGTGCTCCCGGGTCCTGTCATTTGCACTAAAAAGAACGGAACGGAGAAACAGAGGTTACAAGGAGTTGCACGGCTGACGCGGCTGCGCTGCTGGAGACGCTTGCCCTGTGCCTCCCTCCATCCGCCCGGGGACCTTCTCTTGAACAGAGACCTGATCTCATTGCAGTTGGGAGGGTGATGCTGCAGCGGGCCGGATCCTGCCCAGTGCCAGGGGAGCAGCCTCATGCTCAAGAAAACACAATAAAGCAGGGGTGCTGAGTCTGAGGTGGGGTCCCTGACGGGGTGGTAACGGGGGAACAGGCCATGCAGCTCCCAAATTCCCCTGGCTTGCTACCAGGCATTGAGATTCACAGCTCCCATCGGCAGGAGGGTGCCTATACCACCCCCCTACACTCCACCCACTTTTAACTTGTGCTTTATTAGCAAAGGGCACCGGGCTGAGATCGGGGGTCCTGGTTCAGCCCATCTCTAGCTGGTGAAACCTTCAGCATAGCTTTGCCCTGACAGCTTTATGCATAAATAAAAGACCTTCAGTGCTTAGGAGAAATAAGGTGACAATTGGCATGATTGGTATGTGTGACATGGTGACTGGTATGTGTAACTTGGCAAGCACTGGACAGGTGAGGCGATAGAAGGGTGTTTATACAACCCCCACTCCCACAGTGACTGCAGATTAGTGGCGGGGAGGCTATAGACTCATAGGAGGCTGCTGCTACAATGCAAACATTGGAGTTTTTTAACTTCAGTGGGATTAACCCAGGAGGCCAGCGGCCCCGTTGGGTGAAGCAGCTTGTGAAAGGCACCTTGCTGGAAGGGTTAATGCTTCTCTCTGGAAAACATCCGGGCTCTACGACTAGCTTGGACCAACGTTCCCACATGCAATGGGGTAGAGATTTCACAGACCCCCACCGGGGAATCCTCCCAGAGAACTGTTATCGTGATGTCTCAGACAGGCCTTGCCCTGCAGTCCTCTCCATAGCAAAACACCTGCCAAGACCCTTCGGCGATAACCCACTTCACCGCCCATCCAGAGACGGAACAACTAGGCCTTCATACAATCAAGTGCCCCGTGCTAGGCTTCTGCTCCCAGAAGAAGTGGGAGAGGAGATGGCATGGGTGTAATGGCGGAGAAGTGAGCTATGGATCACTTCGTCTGAACAGTACAAAAATAGTTTGAGCTTGGGGTCCATTTAGGGGTAGCTTCCCAAAGGATGTGATGAGACCTCCACAGTCTCAAGCACTTAGAGCTGAAGAGGACCCGGTACCAAATCCTGGACAGTGAGACTATCTCTGTTCTCAAAGTGGGGTGGCCTACCCCTGTTCCCACTGATGTTGGAGGGAGCTTTAGCACAAGGCTGCCTCTTGTTGGTGGGGAGAACTCCAGAAGATCATTGCCTTCATCCATTCTCTTTCAAACCCTTAGCACTAAAGACTGGTGTCTTCTTCTCCCAGCTGGTCACTTTAATTTTCCCCTCTGCTGGAAGGAAGCCTCAGGGTATGAATGCACAGTGCAAAGCAAGTGCCACGAGGGGGCCTGGCAGCCGTTACATTTGTGGCATGACTCACGCGTTAACCGCACCATAAATCGCAACATGTCACATATCCTGGCCATGTTATGTCACCGTAAACTGCAAATCAGCCACAAAGATGTTCCACATATAACACAGAACATATTTGTAGCTGGTTTGTACGGTGCCTTAAATTGTAGGTGTCGCATGTTTTCCAGACCTAGGGTTACCTTGGCTGATGCCAACCATCGGCCAATTGTAGCATCACGTGCAACAGCCTTGGGTTCCAGGCCTACCCCCAGCCCAGTCCCTGGGGATCAGGCTGGGGAGACCTCCAGGTGGGTGATTGAGATCTGAGGAATTTTATGCCCCGTTGCAAACACTGCATGTCCTACCATGCATGTACAGAATGGCAGGACACACCATTTTTGGGATGAGGAATAAAAGTCCTAAGATCCCAGTTGCACCCTTAGTTGAAAGAGGGACAGAGAACTGCTATACTCGCTGCGCAACAGTTAAACAAGCCCTGCTGGGCAATGCACATGATCTCAAATGACCAAGGTCGACGTGCAGGACAATACCACTCTCCACAAGAGACAAGGCAGGGTGCTCTGGGATGGCGCAGTAGAAAGTGATAACCTGAGCCCTTGGCAGAGGGAAAGAAATGACATTTAGTGTCATCACCTCTGCACACTTCATGGGGACTTTAACGTGGACTCTGAGGGCCTGATGAAGTAGCTGGAGACACTTGGCCTTAAAAAAAAATAAAAGATATGTGAAGTCTTGATTTGGTGTGTGAGAAAGGTGGGTGGGGAGCATAGTATCGCTATGCACTATGGCAGAACAGAGAAGGTCAATGAACATACTCTCCAGCAGCTGTCCTGAAGGGGATACTTCAGGATGCTTATCTTGCTGGGATCCTATGACCCCAGCTGACTTCCTGCCCTTTGGGCAGGGGGCTGGACTCGATGATCTTCCGAGGTCCCTTCCAGCCCTGATGTCTATGAAATCTATACATTTTGAACCCCCTGGGCCATTCAGTGCCTGCCTCCTATGGACCTCATCTCTGTAAGACCCTAGCCTCCTACCCTGGCGTTTCGGCTGAGACCAACACAGGGTAGTGGCTCATGTTATTCAGAAACTCCAGGAGATGCCCCGAGACCCATCTGTTAGGTCCCCACTCAATACACACTTCCACAAACTGTCCATGGATGGCAAGGGCTTTCAGCCTGTGGTGGACCAAGCTGGCCCCACAGAGATTGGGTAGATTTTAAGCTGGTGGAAAAACCTGATCTGACCCATAGAAGCCCTGGGAGGCAGAGCCATTCACAGCAGCTGGGCTCTGCTCCAAAAACCTCCACATCCCGAACCAAGCCTCGGAGCCACCCCACCACGATGAACAAGAGACCGGGCCAAGCCCAGGCATCAACCAACCTGCTCAGAGTCCTCTCCCCTCTTTCCACGGAGCAGAGTTCATGTCTGGCTTAGTCTACATGGTGCAATGCAGTGCTGCACGGATGCCCCGGTGAGCTCCCAGACAGCTGGCTTGGGTACTGGAAGTGATAGCATGGTGCTGTGTGCAGGCTAATGTACCCTGCTCCTCAGTTAACCCGGGCACCATGCCATGCCGGTGTGATTAGCACTGCTTCCAGGACCCAAGCTAACTTGCTTGGGTATCCTGCTCCATGAAGACTTAAGGCCCAGGGCATATTATACTTATCACTCAGTCACCAAGATGTGATCCTATTGCACCCTGCTCAGCTCCCTAGGAAATAGTTAAATGTAGGAAGCAGGTGGGTCTGACTACTGATGGCTCCTTTTCGCAGGCCAGGTAGCAGTGTTTTAATATTCTTCAGGGACTTGAGCAGGGTGGAATAGAGTCATACTTAGCCACCTAATAGGTGGGATAAGATCTAGTCCTGAGCAGACTAAGTTGGGCATCAGCCACCAGCCCTGCTTTGAACCATACCGGTACCTCTGGGTGAGTTAAGGACTGGCCGGATAGGATCCATGTAGGGTCTTCTTGGGTTCGGATCCCTGAAAAGGTGTGCAATTCAAATCAAAACCCACCAATCCGAATTAAACACAGGGATTGGCACCCAGGACTTGATGAAACCATTAAGAGTCAAGTGCCTAAATAGCCTGTGAGGATCTGAATTTTAGTGCCTGGTTATAAGGAGCTTTTCTGTTTTCTTTCTGTTGGAGGTGAGAAGGCAGGAAGAAAACAGGCTTCAGGTTGCTGAGTAACACCCATTACAACATGCCCCTGGGGCCACTTTTCTCTCTGTAGGTACCCCAAGGGACATCCACACCACCCCTCCACCCTCCCGCAGAGAGCTCAGCTCCAATGCCCTTTGTGATAAGCTCTATTTAATAGAGTGACGTGCTATTCAGTGTGACCAAGGGCACCAGGATACCGCTCTCCTGCTTTTTACAAAGTTCGTTTTGTTTCCAAGTCGGTGAAAACGAGCACTCGGTGAGAGGTATTTTTTCTAAAGCAAAAGCTCCCCTCCAAAATTTTTAAAACAATTATTAAAAAAAATAAATAAATAAAACAAACCCCACAACAGTTATGGTAGTTTGTTAACTGAAACAAATTAGTTTCTCAAATTCTAGATTAACCTTGAAAAATAAGCGTTTTAACCAAACCCCCCCACCCAAAAACCCCCCAAATTTGACTAGAGCATAATGAATGCAATGTTTCAATGTCAATGGGAGTGTCTACACAAGACGCTAAATGCGCAGTAGATTAATTCTACTGGACATTAGTGTGTCACAGCAAGAGCTGTGCTAATGCGCAGTAGAGTTAGTCTAGTGTGCATCAGCGTCACTAAAAAGGCATGTGCCGGTGCTACCGTAGTGCCGATTACTGTGTATTCAGTTCATACCTGTCATTACAGATACTAACCTCAATGCGCTGTACCTACAGCACATTCGTGCATGTGTAGACGTGCCCGGTAACTTGTTTTGCAAAAATAATTTCCTTACCCGAAAAGGGCCCATTGCATTTCAGGGAATAAAAAGCTTTTCCTTCGGTGGTAAAAGTGTATGGGGGGGAATCTTTCACTTAAAAAGGAATGAAAGACTGACGCGAACTCTTACACAGTCAAGGTTTTATGCAAGCTGGATGTAAAAAAGAAAAAAACCCTCATAACTTGGCCCTGAGCCTTTAAAGATGGACCTTTTCTGCTGGGTGGAGGTGAGACCCCAGCATGCGAGCACTTCACAGAAATAGGCTGCTCATTAAATCCCACGACAGATGCTGCTCTTGCAGTGCTCTTCACCCGGCTGGCACCAACAGAGGCCAGCTCCAAATGAGACTCACAACCTGATTTCTTAATCAGAGAGGCTTAGATAAGCTTCAGAGCAGCTGATGAACCTTGGGATGGTTATCCCCATTCTCCCAAGCCTGCCCCTACCACAACTTTGATGTTAAGTCACTGATGAGAGAACTTTATCCTTCCTTCAAAATACACGCTGCCGAATAAAGACCTCATCGATTTAATGAGCTCACATCT